AAAAGTAATATATTATATGCCCTTATTTAGATATAAACAAATCTATTATTATGTGATATATAAGCAAATTTGACAATTAAACGATCGTCACGCAGAATGGATTGACAAGTATATAAATATGATATCACAATTTATCACACGATATTTCTCTAAAAGAGATAAAGGTGGCGAACGTAGAAGTCATGTAATACAATCTTAAAATGACCATAATGTAAATTCGAATTGATCCATTTAAATGTTTTGTTTTACTAAAAGTACACTTGATTGTGTTACGGCCTTAAACTCCAAATTTATACTTTATTTGGCATTTTCGTGCTATGAATTAAAACTAAAAACCTTAACTTTTTAGAATTTCTGTGTATTAAGTTATAATATTTACTGCACTTTCTACACCATGTCAAGACTGAAACTCCCTGCAAACAAATAATTCTGCAAATCTGTAAAATAATAATTATTTATTAAATTACCACGAAAATATTTCATGCCATCATGAAAGTGAATAAAGAGAGAATCTAATTTGACAATAGTGGTGATATCGGATCTTTCAAAAAACTCAAGATACCGCATCTTACATTTTACTCATCACAATTTGTATTTATTATCTGTACATGTTCAAAGAAGCAGCAAAGTGCCAACGAAGTTTTTAATGCGTGGGCCCATAGAGATGGCGCATGCACGATGGCAGTACTGGTATATTCCTCCACAGCGAGAAGACAAGGACTAAATTACATTTATAAGATTTCAAACTAAATAATAATAAAAAAAATAATTATTTAAGTGATTATGGTTTAAACTATTTTCCAATAACATAACGCCGAGAGCAGAAGTGTGTTCATTTGTAACTACAGCTCAGAATTTATAATAGTCTAGGTTATTAGTCGGTTTTTTTTTCTGTAATGGAGTGTGTAAACACATGAAATGAAATGAAATGAAATGGGATTGAACGTCCTATATACATTTTTGACCCGACTGAGCCAATAACGACGGACTTACGTTATACAGTGTGCTATGAGGGGAATTTTGTCCGAACAGTGGCGCTACGGCCTACTCTTATTTCGAATTCCAACAGCCAATGGTTCTTTTACGTGCACGCCAATGTGCACAATGTACACAGCTGAAATATGGGAGGAAAGACATCCTTCGAATTTTGTTTAGACAGTACATTTACTTAGTACCTGTTTCTTTTAAAACGAAGTTCTGTGAGGTTCGTTCGTTCGTTCGTGAGGGCCTGGTCAGGAGCAGTGTCTAGTCGTTCGGATGTTACAAAAACAGGTCCCAAATACACATTGCCGTGCATGTAAAGAATCGTTAACAGTTGAAATTCAATTGATATACGGGCAAAATTTCCCCCTGTATGGATAACCTTACCCGTCTTCATTTGCACTGTTGGTCCATAACCCCGAACGAACGAGTTGGTACGGATTAACGTCCGCTTCCGCCGAGCGTGATGTCCCAAACAAGATCTACAGTTGATTGGTTGATTCCCCAGGCTTCAAGTTCGCTTCCACATAGGGTGATCAGGGGCGGATCCGCCCCCGCTCAGCAACATAAATGTTTTTGTAAATCAACACTTTCTCGGACGTGAGCTTTATCCTTTTATCGTCAGATGTGGGACAGGATGGGCACTCAAAGCACGAGATAGTGATATAGACATTATGTGATATCACAATTAATGCTTTGCATCCATGAAATTGAATCACAATGTTATTGTATTAATTCATTATAAAAATTGACGTCAAACGAGGTGTTGAATTTCTCTGTTTAAAAAGCTCAATGTTTATGTATATACGCCAAAATGACAATAGAGACCATGCGGGAGGAGGGGGGGGGTACATTGTCTCGGGAACCTGGCAAACCCCCTCCTGCAAAAATTCCTGCATCCGCCCCTGGTGATATCGCAGTCAAGTTTTGGGAAATGACTTCTTAAATACGTGTTACTTCTACAAGATGCGAAATCCAATAGTGCAAGGGAAGTAACTCTTTTAAAGAATCTTATTGCCAAAGAATTCTTTTTTTTTTTCAAAATATTGTCATGTAAGTTGCTTACTAAAAGTCTGCACCACTTTCATTTTTCGGAAAATATCAAATTTTTAACGGCTTAATTCACGATAAAATGTACTCTGGATTATTTATTATTTAATTAAGAAAACAAAATCATAAAATCAACTGTTGATAATTTCCCGGTTTGGATGCATCGGATTAAAATAAGGTACGTCAAAAGAATGTAGCGCGGAGAGTACAAGTGGCATATTATACTGTTTATATCGTCTTCAAAGGATACTGAGTTTTGACAAAAAATTTCATTCATCAGTTCTTTGTAAATACTGAATAGAATGGAACCATGCTATTCAGCTTTCATAACCTTGTATTTTACACGGAATTCTGCAGGGACTTTCTGACGACCAGGGACTCTAAGAGAGACGTAATTTTATGATATTAGCGTTTAATACAAAGGGGATATTTTGAGTTTACACTTTGGCGTTCCAGCCTACAGTTGTAAGAAGCTAGTACGTCTACGTTTCTAAGCTGATTATCTGCGGATTATACCTGTTTATAGTCCTTCATTTCCAGTTCCCTGTGTCCGACGACGAACCTTCCGTTCATTGGTTTCGGTCGACTAATTTCCAACCACGGTCACGTTACCGACTTTGTATTGAGATATTGGGGCGGTTCAAAAGCGTTACTTTTTTTATTGTATAACTTATTCTTTATTCCTTTTTAGACTTACCTCCCTTGAACTGACACAAGGTACGATTTCTTCTAAAAATGCTTCGAATTTCAGTATTTTATGAATATTTATCAGATAAATCGTGGGTATTTTATGAATATAGTGTATGAATACTGTATTAATCATAGAAATTTTGATGGAGTGTTATTTTGTTGACTACGAATCTTAAATGAGGTAAACCTCTGTGAAAAATAAGATATTGAATGAATGTCATCTGGAATTTTTGCTCTGACCTACTACTGTGTCGACAGTTGAACACATAAGCAGTTATATATTACACTGGCTTTAGACGGAGTTCCTTCCCACAACACAGATTAATATATAAAGTCAAACGAAATCTACAATTTTATTTTTGAGCGTAAAGTTCTAACTCAATATCAATCAGAGTCTTTGACATTAGAAACAGGAATGTTTGGTTCATTCCAATCAATAGTGGTGTTGTTATCTTACCTTGAAAATATGGTCTCCTGATTGGTCATTCATTTTGCACTCATGTATTTCGACGAACAAAACTGATTAGAAATGACAATAAAAGTGTTGTTTTTTTTAAATGAATGTAAATCAGTTTATATACACTCATATTACTTTAATATGTACTGTTTGGTCCATTTTCGTCTATTTTAGGTTCCAAAGAATAGAGATTTAGCTCCTTTAATCATTGATTGACGTGGGCAGTAAAGCCGACAATCTTTTATAACAAACATGCACTACATTATGACTCAAGGACAATCAAAGATTTTGAATACGCATGATCTATAATTGAGTTATTCATTTGTTGCATCAGCTTACTATAGTATTATAATAGAATAATATTCGCTTTCCTATTGGTCGTCTTGCAAATAACACATATAAACACGTACACGAAATATGTCATAGTATAACGCACAGGCACTTGAAGGGATTAAAATAAAACTTCTTACTACTCTTTGACTATATATTACAGTAATAAGCTGTAATATATAGTCAAAGAGTAGTAAGAAGTTTTATTTGAATCCCTTCAAGTGCCTTTGGTATAATGGCGAAGACACGCGTGTTATGAGTAAATAAATAGCTTGTATTGCCTTATACTTTATACAAGCTTGTGTTTATTACCAACACTATCGTTATTTAAAGTGGTTGAAAATAAGTATTGATTGTTTCTAAAATCAAATAAAGTGATTACGAAATGGTTTTTAACGTTTTACTTTTCTGCACCAACCAGCCTATTGAAGACGGACATTTTGCCCGGACAGCGGCGTTTCTTTTACGTGCACGCAAACGTGTACCTCGGACCTCGGGTGTTTTTACCATCCGAACGAATAGATCTTGTTCCTTGCGAGGCTTCCCTTACTGCATTACTGACAAGGGGAATCAAATCTGGGAAATCCCGATGAACTTTAATGGATCGTATCCGGAACCTCCTGGTTAGTGTACCAACGTGGTTCACCTCAAAAACTAAATTGTAATTATAGACGCCTAGAGAGTCATGGGTATACCTTACTTATGAATAGTTGGGTGGAATCTTTCTTCGGAGCTTTCTGGGCATTTTTGAAAAGAGAAGAAACATGAACTACTGTTTGTACTGATCGGTAAACATTTTGTGGAAAGGGGTGGGGTTGTTGGAAGTAAGCTTTTAACACTCTCTCGGCAAACGAAGTGTCAGGATCAAGGTTGGGGACATTATTTAAGTTTTTAAATGATCTAGATAGCAGAAGGACTTTACACCATCCGCAGTTGAAGGAAGTCGTCGACCGGGGCAGGCATGTAATATAATGTTTATTTAAAGATACATTATGGGAGATTAGTTAAAGAACTGGCAATTCTCTCTATAATAGTTAAAAACTAGATAATGTAAAGGCAATGTGCTCAAAATTTCAGTCAAATTGATCCACAATGAACCGAGATTTTTGCGATTGAATATTGGGGCTAGCCTCGATCATCATTACTAAAGTCGGTAGGATAATCCATATTTTGATTTAATTATGAATGGAAGTCGAACAGCAAATCGGAACGTAATCCAATAAACATCGCAGACTAGCGATGCCAGTTAATTAATGTCTAATTAATAATTTAGATAACATTTCAGGCCTAATGAAAGACTTGCAATAGGCAGATTTAGCTCTTGCATAATGTTTGTATAAACAACCGCAGTCCGAATTTGATATTGAGTATCATTTCCTGGGCGTGTTAGTTTCAAAACTATTAATATGCAGCTTTTGTCTACGTCGTTAAGAGTTAAATATAAACAAATTCACAGAATTGATTCGTTTCTTTATTGTATCAAATAGATAAACAACAAATAAACAATTACAAAGGCTTTATGTGTTTAGTCTAATCTATAGATCTACGGTTTTGTGTCATCTAACTGTTGAATTACAATTAATAGTTGAAATGATATCTACAAAACATAAATATATTTTTCTTATACGTTTACATAATTTGATCAGAACATTTAAAACTATAGAAATGCATAGATTGTTAATCGCATATTACATATTGTAAACAGCGGTCTTACTAATTACCAACGAGAACCGACAAGCAACCAAAGTAATACAAAGTGATATAAAATGTTTGCAGGAATTTGAATCATCCATTTTGTGTACCAGGGCAAAATTTGTCAAATTTTCAATGTCCATAATTTTTGTTATTCTTTATGAAATCTTTTAAATTGTGGATATGGTGTGTAGGTCATGTAATCTATTACTTGTCCGTCACTTATTGCGATACTTTGGGAGAGAGAGAGAGAGATGGGGCTAGAGCTGGAAATCGAAACCACGTCAGCTGACTCACAGACCTTATGATCAAAAGCGCACGCGTTAAACCATTCGGTTACCCAATCCCCCCACAAACACTTTAGACGCTATTCGAAAACACTGCCCTTGTCGGTTTTTGATGATGATTAGACCCTGTAAACAGTAGTCACTTCATCTCATGTAGTTTATTATCATTAGAATATGCCAAATAATATTAATACATGATCGTTAAATATAACAAAAACAAACTGTAAATCATATCTGATTTAGGGTATATTATATAATAAGACATCTAAATACGTAAGTGATCAAGTTATAATGATATGAGAAATTACATACAAAGGACCACAATGGACATGTGCTTTCGATTCATAACATTCTATTACAAACATTGTCAATTACAGCTACCTGAATCGTTTCGGAAACTTATTGTTATCGGCATTTACGCTTTTCGTATTACTCTTTTAACTGTTCATTTATCGGGAGCAAGATATTTCATTTAAATCACAAGTGGAAACATTCATATTGTTTGGCTATGCAAAGTGTTAAATTACTATATTATTGGAGATATTGGTGTAAATATGATAGAATATCTACGGATGTTTCCGGATCCAGTTCTTGATCGCTAATAACTTGTAAAGGGAGTTCAGGTGAACACTGGCTGGTATAAACGGTCTCTGAAGAATTACTGACGTCACAGTACACTATATTATTGAGAGGAACCACCGACATGTCACTATTACACGAAGTATCACCAGTATAAACTGTGGGAATTCCTGGCTCATTGCCATCATGAACACTCAACTCGGTATTGTCAGTATTTAAATAACTGTACATATTAGTGAGGATTGCGTCACAGTGTTTGCCCGTATCTAGATATTGAATGTTACTTTCAGGGAAATCGTCGCACACAAAGTAAGGGTTAGGCTGTGTAATATTCTGGGTACTAACATAGTGGTTTTCTATATGTACGCTACTGCTAACATCTGACCAATTCGTGGTTTCGCATTCACTTGGGTTGGGAGAATTTGGGGAAATCCCTTCAAAGTTAGTACATGTCATGTCCATGTTTGGATTAATGGAAACACATGACACATAGCTGTTTTCACAATGGGGTTTGGCTACTGTTTTATTTTCATCACTGAAACAATTTCCATTGACGATATGTGCTTGATATATTTCCCCAAGTTCTGCCATCTGTTTCTTTAGTTCAGCTACCTTAGAATTCAGCTCTTTATTTCGTCTAATTAAGATTGATTTCTCCTGAAATATATTATTTATAAGTACTACTGGTAAAATCATATAAAACTAGGGAGGCTAGAGTTGAACTGTTTTATGGTCTACAACGTAAAGACCTCGCCAGATCGGGTGGCGTCCTTACTGCACTGCTGCGACTATACGGCGACCAGAAAATGCACAGTCACCGGCAAACGTGAACACAACGCGAGAAAATGTTCCCAAAAAATTACAAACTTGAAAAAAGTCACGTTCTTACCGGGACCTGTGCGATAATGCCACGTTCTCGCGGCGCGCCCGTCTTCATTGGCCCAGTTTGGAGCAGAACAGTAGGACGTTAAACCTCATTTCATTTCATTTCTCACGGCACGCTCTCGACGCTTATGGCGTTTCTATTGAGATCATGGACTTGGCAACGGCGATCATAGGCGAATCCGCGGCTCTCTAACCACGCTCATGGGGGTCTTACCATCGCGACTGCACGTGCGTTTCTAACACGTAATCACGGCGACTATATAAACTGGTCAGAATTTTGGAAATTTTAAGATGATGACATACACACTGATGTATGAACTTTGAATCACCTGTTTTTATAGCAAGTCGTACATGAAAAGCATGGTCGCCAAACGAGCGTAATACAAGCTTGGTAACCGCGCCATGGTCGTATTAAGAACTCCATAAACGCAGTTGGAAACCCATAAGATCGCACTGGGAGCCTCATGTGGACGTGGTGCAATCGCGTAACAGTGGTGAAATCATCGTAACTTCGCCATGACAACGCCCTAAAGACTCCGAACGCTTGGTGGGGTTATGGCAGACACGCGAGAGTCGTGGTGAAGACGCCATGAATTCGCCGTTGCAAATGTTACAATTTTCGCAGCGTCTTTGCACGTGTGTACGGCGGGTGTACTACGTTCACGGAGATGTTACCACGCTAGTCTACCGACCTTCGCGACCCCACCACGTTCTCGCAACTTTCCAGGTCAGATCGCAAAACCATGGCGTTTGGGGGGGGGGGGGGATGGCTGAATGGTTAGCGTGCGCGCGCTGTATCATAAAGTCTGTCATTGAGTCGACTGGCGTGGTTTCGAATCCCCGGTTTCCCCCCACTGCTAAAGACCCCTATGCGCAAGCGAATTATTGAAATAAAATTAAAACCATATGTAAGTCCCGAAATGACCTAGTTGTGTCGAGTGGACGTTAAACCCCATTTCTCTCTCTCTCCCATGGCATTTGTTTTCAACATGCTCAAAACAAACGCCGTGACTCGGCGATCATTGGCGACCACGGAGACAACAGTACAATATCTGGCGTTTCCAACACGTTTTTACAACGCTAATGGCGATCTTAACGCACTCTTAGATCATTTGCCGTCGCCGTAACAACGCAGTAGAGGCGGTACGAATAGAAAATGATGATTACCCTGAGCAAAGATGTTCAATTTTGTTCACTAATGTCCCAACTATTCTTATGATTTTTAGCGCTTGCGCAAGAAGTTGACTTGAAATATTGTGTGGTTTACACACTAACACCGAACAAATCGTTCTAAATAAGTTAAGAAATATTAAATTAGAAAACAATGTGACGTACCTCTTCTCTAGTTTGAAAACTCGCCTTCTTTTTTTGTCGACATCGTTCTGCTGCTTGTCTATTCTGTTCTCTTCTGCGCTCCTTTTTGCGTATTTCATCTTCAGTCAACTAAAAATTAAATATTAAATTGCATTAAATATTAAATTAAAGCGATAATTTCATATTTTTGAGTTATATTTTTAAAATGTATTAAAATAAAGCCTTAAAATAGATGGTATCTATAAACAGCCCTACCTTGATAAAGAATAATCCTATAATTCACTATTGCCAGTTGAGAAATTGGTAAAAATATCATTTTCAACTTCAAATTCAAACGTTTGAAGATAGCTATTCCATGGGGGGAATAGAAAAACAAGGGAGGTAATTGTGTTATTATTTCCGGGGTGAATGATTTTTAAGTGTGAGAATGATACCTATGATCGTATAATAGTGAGTTGACAACCTATTGAGCAATGAAATTCTCGCATTAAATAAAATTCATACGTGAACATATTCCTATAAATTTATTTGTGTTATATTCTGATGGGATACATGGACCCAATGGGTCTATTTCCTCTTCGTATTGTATGTGACATTTGTGGTTTCAATAATACGTACCTTATAATTCTTTTCTTCGGTGGCAGAAGTGTTGATTGCATCTTGGTAATTTTCGTGTCGTTTTGCCATTATGGATAGACGAAGTTCCTCCTTAATGATAGGTGAAAGACTGCCTTGTTTTAAAGCTTCTTGATAGGCTTGCTGTATTCTCTCGCCTTCTTCAACGTATAACGAATCTGGAGAATCTATTGGTGTGTCCATTTTAACTGAAAGAAACAAATATTATGTATTAAATATTGTAGGCGAATTAAAAATTTCAACATACATGTACCACGAAGGCTCACCAAGGACGTAAGACATCAGTATCTATCAATTATTACCATCAGTGCTTTTTAATCTGTCAAACGTTCGACTGACCATAACTTTTTCTTATCTTATCCAAATGATAAAAAATGCCCTATTTAAATATTCTAAGAAATATTTCAAACCATTGACAAATTACGATCCTTTTCCGAGAATTGAATTAAGCGTGCAGTTAATTTAAGACTGGTGTAAATTATAATACCAGTACAAAAATACCCGATTTTAGTTCTGTCGATTACACGTATAAATGTGGAAATAATAAATAGTTAGTTTTGTTATATTATCTCGTTTGGTATCGTGCCAACAGATATTCTCCGGAAATGCAAAATGACGAAATTTATAGGTGATCTTGTATCACAATGTTATAAATGGTATTAGAGACTCTGTCAATACGAGAAAAACATCAACTTACAGGGCATACTTAATACTAACTGAATAACTATTGACGCGTGGGTACAGAAAGTCTTTATTAGACTATAGCGTTATACCTTTTCAAGGAAGTTATTTAATTTTCACACCACACAAATTTGAGCGGCCATGGGAATTCCCAATGATTTGCAAATACCACCTACGGTATAATATGAACGGGTTACCATCAGGTAACAATTTACGACGAATATACGCCGGAATAGTCATACCGCGTCGATTAATAGTCATACAGAGTCAACTAATACTATAAATCATTCAAATCTGCATGTGTCAAATAAAGTCTCTCTAATACTTGTAGTTCTGGGGTCGGTTGCTCAAAACTAAGTTATTTTAACGATCTGTTAAACTCAAACGGGTCGTTATCTTGTCAACGTGTCGTTTGTTAACGGTCCGTTAAATATCTGTTGCTGGAAAGTCAATTTCTTTATCTGTAAGCTAATGGACTGATTAAAATTAATCCAAGAGAAGACTGTTTGTTCACTGTCTGAATTTTAAATATTTAAATTCAATGTACATGTATAACAAATTCATAGAAGTTAGTATTAACAAGAAACTGAAGACAGCGGGACAACTGTGCAGTCTGTTCACAAAACTTGATTAAAGACAAAAAAATAACTGTAGAATTTACTATAAAAAACTATAAAACAACTTATTTTTTCCTTTAGAAATGTTAACATAAATCTGTAGGAAAAAATATGGGATTTCCACTACATAAACTGTAAAATACTTGGGGCCATTATTTCCTATAGGCCCCCAAAATTCTGTAGAATATTATAGAATTTCATCCTATAGAAAATGGAATAGCCCCCCACACACACACACACTCACACTCACAAACACATCACCCAGCCCTGATAATCTATGAGTTTTTGCTAAGGGTGCAATTCGACTGACATCCGACTAAAGCCATCGTTAAACAGACAACGGGGCCAAACACCTCCGTTAAATATAACGATCTATTAACTCCATGTTAACGAGTCGTTAGAAGTTAACAGAGCTTTAAACAACCGGTCCCTGAACGTTTGGCAAAGAAAAGCAAAGCGAAGAGAAAGGTGGTGTCTAGCGTCATTCAGTATTATACTTGCGCTCAGGTCTCTTTAGCCTTGGTAATAATAATACCTAAGATTCGCAACATTCGTTTACCCAAGCCTGTGACTGCTAAGCAAGAAAAAAATGATAAGATTCTACAGACACGTGCTGTTAATTTATAAAATTACAGTATTGAGGATTGTGAATATACGATCAAAGATTGAAATCAACAAATTAAGGGTACCATTAACAAAGAGATAATATTTTTTTCGAAATAAATCTTCGTTCCATGCATTAAAACTTATATTGACTAATGTGTTTAAACATCTGAGTAGAAAAAATCCCGAACTTAACAAACTTTTAAAAGCCCACACAATTTAATTGTAGGCCTAACAAATGATCGACTGTCGGAGAAAATATTAATACTAAACGATAGACTATTATACACCTGCAATTGTAGGTAGGGCCTACCTCCGTTTTGACATTACATTGTATATTTATCAATACAATCATGTATAGTATTTCACATAGCATGTAAGTAATAATAAACAATCGCTATTAATCCGATTAACAATAGTTAGAAGGTCGTGACTCATCAAAGGCTCTACATGTCGCAGGGTGTCGTATACAGGATTTCTGAGAAATAAAATGGGGTTTAGCGTTCTGATTTCATGTACCAACCGGGATGAAGACGGGCATACGCCATGCAGAGTGCTGTGAGAAAAAGTGTGCCCAGACAGTGCCGTTACCGGCACCCGGACCATCCGAACGAATACACGTTGATCCCTGCTAAAGCCCCCGCCCTGCACCACTGACAAGGAGAAACCACACTGAAAAATGCCATCAGAAGAACGTTCTTGGCCAACACCGGGATCACACCCGAGACCTCCTGTTAGTGAGCCAGAAGCTTACCAAAAGAGTCACCGTTCTCCAGGATTTCTCAGTATGTCATTCTTGAGATTGATTAAGTTATTTGGGTTGGTAAAGTTTTTCAGAGGGCGGGCTTGTGCGCCATGGCAGGACCCAGCCACACAAATCACAAAATAATCGCCGCCAGGAGACTGGAAATATGTATTCCCATTATCATTTTATTAACGAACTTTTGAGACATACGCGGGACCTTGTTTTTTGTCTCACCCGAATGACTAGACAGCTGTCCTCTCAGGCCCTCCGTCCTGCACCACTAACAAGGGGAAACCACGTCGGAAAATCTCGATGAACTTTCTCTGCCATTGCAGGGTTCGTACACGCGACCTTCAGACTAGTGAGTTGGCGTCTTACCCACTTAGCCAGCGTGGCTCGATAGACCAGTACTTCTATACAAGCAATAATATGGTGTCATACCGAACAATGTTACAATGTCCTGTAAACAGGCAACCATACATTCAATCATGTGTACGAGAAGTCTTTTCGTACTTCATGACCCATATTTTGAGACTGGTATAGTTAAACTAATTACATTGCACCATGTGAAATCCAACAGGATTGTATTCAGGTGTCGGCGTCATCTCTTCGAATTCGAACTGTTCAGGGATCTTTAGATTATTTTTATTATCAATTTGTAGCTCACTCGTGCTACTAGAAGTACTACCCTTTTCCTTAAACGATACATGGACATACATCTGCAAATTAATGTTCATCTTCTGTTATCATTCAAGTCATACCATAAAAACAAAACGTCAAAAACACTAACAGGCCTAACACCCCTTCAAAGTAGACCTATGATCAGTCTAAATTCCTACTTTAGTCCTAATTTGAGAGACAAATTTATATTTTACAGGCTAACTAATTGATTTAATTTTATTCCCTACCTCAGTGGAATCCAAATATAAGAACAAATCCACTCTGATAAAAGATAATATGGTAAGCAATGTACTTAAATCCTCTACCTGCAACTTAAAAGACATTTACTGTCAAAACTGGACTTAACTGTCGTCTGCTCACCTTTTATTCTAACAATACTGCACGCGCTAGTAAATTAATCCCGCCCTATCACGTGACAAATTGCTCTCCTAAAGTTGAGACGTCCTTGTTGTTATTATACAAGTATATCGATGACTAAACTCGTGGAAATGTGTTTGAAAGTTGTATTACTAATGGTAGTAAATCAACGAACTACTGTCATGTACAAATATATTTGCTTCCTGTAGATATTTTGACTATCTTTCAGCTCGCGATCGTTTGTTGATACACGTGACTTTGCCCCGTGCTGGAGTTTAAATCTATTTTTGTAAAGGGGATTTCCAACTCAGGCTGGCGTGTCTAAACTTGTCTAGAAAACAGGTCATGCAATCTTGCCCCAGGCTCGTAGATTTCTTTTTTTTTTTTTTCCAAAACAATGACATCTGTTGAGATAAAATATAATAATATTATATAGCATAGCATGCGTCTGGGCTATTATACTTTGATGATGGCGTGCTACGGATGAGACCATGCATTGAAATCTAATGTTCGATCAAGATGTTCGTTTGGTTAAATATTAGGAAAATAATTTAATATTGTATTTTCTTCGGAGATGTTTTTATAAGGACCAACAAAGTAATTTGTGATGTAAAATAAAAATTTGAGACAGAAAGAGAGTGGGGGCGGGATTACATCATTCGGTTGAACGTCGTACTGTTCTGCTCTGAATGGAGAGAGAGGGAGAAGGGTTTATTGTCCACTCGGCACACACTAGGTCATTTCGGGACTAACACATGGTTCAATTTTATTTCAATAATTCGTTTGCGCGTAGGGCTCTTTAGCAGTGGGAGGAAACCGGAGTACCCGGAGAAACCCCACGAGGTTGGACAGGCGATCCTACTCCTTGTCACGTACATGTACAACCGGGGTTACAGCGCGCACGTGATAACCATTCGGTCATCCAACACCCCTGCTCTGAATGGGCTTATGAAGACGGGCATACGTCATACAGTGAGCTATAAGGAAAATTTTGTCAGGACAGCGGCATTACTGTCTACTCTTATATCGAATTCCAACTGCCAAGGGATCTTTTACGTACACGCCAGTGTGTACACAGGACCTTGAGTTTACGTCCAGATGAATTTTCTCGGTTAACACAGGGATCAAACACGAGACCTCTTAGTTAGCGAGCCAATAACGTACTCGACGAGAGAGAGAGAGAGAGAGAGAGAGGAGATTTCAATTTCAATAATCGACTTGTGTCGAAAGCACGACACTTAACTTAGTGCATGCGTTCGATATAGACCCTACGTCCACACAACATCCCGAGTTCATTGGTGATAAATAAAATTGAAATATTACATACAGCAAGGTCAGAAATGATTACTAACTGCTTTTTGTACAATGTTAATTCACAGCTGAATATGATGGATGTTGATAAAATAATTCACAGTTGAGTAACACTTCGAAAAATACCCAACATTATTGTAATTGTTTGTTTATCTGCTTTTACGGGTCAAAGTAAACATAGTGTAAATTTAAACAGGGAAGCAATTTAAACGAAATTTCTGTCTTATCGGGAGGATTATGTCATATGGTATTTTTACATAATGATAATATAATATTAAAAGCCCACCAGTTGTATTTACTATACGTATTATATCTAGCTGACTGTATAGTTTGCAAGTAGACCCGTTGTAAATAGCTTATATTCTTATAGATTATAACCGAGAAATCTATTTTGCAGGTTATTCCACAAGACAAGGCAGAATTTGTCATGGCATTCACGTGACAGTTCGTTTCTTTTATGACCAATCACCAATATGACAACAGTATCTCCATCAAATTTACTTTTAAAGGGGCAATGTCATGTTCACTAGAAAATATATATTGATGAGTATTTAAAATAACCTTAAAAACGAAATTATTATAGAAAATCCAAACACGACCTGTCTAAACTTGGGTACTTTTAGCTGGCGTTCGTTAAACATCTTAAAAAGCACTTCAAAAACTGTTCGACGAATTGACCGATTGGTCTCAAATTCAAATATCTTGTAGAAACCTCAAACACCTATAACTGCGTTCAGAATAAAATAATTTGACTGAAATGTTCAATGTATTCATTTTTATAGCAACAACTTTCAGCGCTTTATCTAAATCATACGTAATGCACCTTTTATAATTTGACAAGTTAAGATTTCCAAAGCACAAATTCCTGTTCGTTTGCTATATTCTTCCATAATATTCTGCTGAAAATATTGGTAAAGATCGTATCGACGTTATTTAAAATGTAAATATCGCCATGTGCAGTCATTCTCGATTCAAAAGACTAATTACGCAGAGCAGAAATTCGCCTATGTATCTGTTATCACTCGTCACTTCAGTCAGTTATATAAAGGGAAACTCGTGTTTCCTTTTGCGTTCATCACTTCCGATTGTTCAAGCATTGATTACGCATCTATCGTAGCAATGATCTCTGGGCTAAAATATTATTTGAAACGTGTTTAACCAGTTCTATCACATATGTGATAATAACTGGCACCAATATTGTCCTTTAAGCCCGGTTTGTTGACTTTTAAATTATTTTCAATACTGACGAAAGTATAAAAATACTTAGACATTGAACCAGACAAGCACCGTTTAGAAAATTTTGTAATATAGCTAAAAAAAAAGTTTTGTTTGTAACGGATTATTCGATTGAAAGTAATTTTCTAGTAGAGTGTAATACTTTCATTATGATAAAGTCTGATTAATATTACAGATCCGATTTTCCTGATGTTCTTTGTACATTTACACTGCAGTAAAAGTGGTGATCAGAAATAGAAATGAAATGAAATGGGGTTTAACGTTCTACTTTTCTGCTCCGAGAGACGGAGCCCAAAAATAGAAATAATATATAATATAATCTGTTCTTATAAACAGCATTAAACTTGTTCATGATTATTTTTAATATAACAGTAATCGATCAAAATAGTATACTGTCTTATTCTTAGTCATCGCTGTTTTGTATGACAGAATCAAAGCAGGTTTAAGTTCTTTGTTCAAGGTTTTTTTTATTATTATTCATGTTCTGTGCAGCTGTCTTTTATTGTAAGGGGAGTACGGTGGCCGAATGGTTAACTCATGCGCGTTGCATCATAAGGTCTGTCGTTGAGACAAGTGGTGTGGTGTCGATTTCCCGCTTGTACGTAACAAGGTCGCCTGTCCAACCTCGTGGGTTTTCTCCGGGTCCTCCGGTTTTTCCCCACTGTTAAAGACCCCTACGCGCAAGCGAATTAATGAAATAAAACTGAACCATTTACTCCCGAAATGACCTAGTTTATGTCTAATGGATGTTATCTAAATGGAAACAATCTTTTGAATACGGGTCAAGAATAAAATATAGGCACAGGTAAATCCAATGCTGAGATACAACTTATTTTGTGTACAACAAACGATGTCATTGTAAACAAGATAAATACAAATATGATTTTTTAAAAACTACTAATACTAATTTCTTTCTTATCAACTCCTAGTGGCGTTTGTTTTGTTTTGTTGGGGGGGGGGGGTCTTTTTGCCAAGGAATGACATTACCACCAACAGTTCTCAAAATTCTTGCTTTTCAGATTCTGTGATGTCAATACCCAGCCTACATCGTATCAATGATCGCATTTCATCTGCTTTATGCCTCGCCAGCACTTCCAGTCAGTCAGTGGTCCGTTTTCATTACGTATCATTGCAATTGTTTAATGTACTGTAGTAAGTGTTAATGTACATGTCAAACAAACTCATCATTTTAAATCTACCTCTTGTTGATGACACACGCTAAATAATTCGGTGACTCATGACCTTTGACATCAGCATGTCACACTGTGACTCATCATACAAGTTGCCGAACTTATGTCTTTCCGAATAGTAAAAGTTATATTTTTAGTAATTATGAATAAAGAAACAATATCACCATCGACATCAAAGAGTGTGTATGGCGGTTTTCTGTGGAATGTTAGAAAAACTTTTTTTTTTCAAAGCAAATAATTTCTAATCAAAAAAAGTTATATGTCCGATATTTACAACTAAAGCTTTTACATTCGTATTTATTGATTTAGTTTATTATTTTGATTTTTTCGATAGTTTCCTCAAAAAACAAAAAAAAAAAACAGGCAAAATAATTCAACCACAGCTTCCATACCCAGCTTCGGAATTATTAATAATGTAAAGGAATGTTATCGGCCGATAATTTTGCCCTCAAAATATCGTTTTTGTCCTATACTCTTTGTCGAATTTAGCTGCTATAAAAATTCTTTTTTGTGTGTGCACGTCAATGTGTACCATCCGAACGACTGAATGACGGTGACCGCTCTGACTCTCTTTACGGTTTGTCTCGGTTTCTTGTGCTTTACTTTAATTTTCATTGCCTTTCAACAACCTGTCCCTTTAATTATTAGTATTAATCTTTGATTTGATATTTATTTCCTATTTATTGACATAATTTTCCCCTGCTTATTATTATTTGGTGTTGCTTTAGTTTATTGTATACTGTATACATTTATAAATATTTAGTAACTTCTTGGAAAATTAATATATTATTTATAATAGATTAGTAATAAATCACGGAGATCTATATTTACGGCTTTATAGATTTTAGTTATAAAATGATTTTTTCGGCGCAGTAAATTATCACACCTCTGTCAAATGTCAAAGATCCCTGGTCGGAAAAACACATAAGAAAATTCCAGACTGCGTCACTGTTACTTAAGAATGTGTTACATAGAGCCATTTGCTGCAAAAAAAAAAAAAAATTCGGTGATATCACTTCGGTGGAAGCGAACGTTAAATAAAGCTATTTCACGCACAAGAATGTTAAAAGATAAAACCTAATTAGTATAGCCTCCTTGACTATATTATGTAACTTATCAAAATATGTATACCATAGTGAACATAAAACGTTTCAAGAAATACAGTCAGTGATCTAACTAAAACAAACCAGATCAATGCAAATAAATAAATGGTATTTGTCCAAAAAGGATATATGTCTTAACAGAACACAATTTCTATGGGAAAATTACTGGTTTTATTCTATAAGCATGTTTCCCAATCTCTAAATGAAACTTAAAGCTTAGGATATATATAATCCCTACATAACCATAAATGCATGTAGTATTGAAAACGGGGCAGAGAAGAAGTATTAGGACTTGTCAAGACGCGTGCAA